ACCAGGACTCACCTGATCCCTCCACTCCCAACTGGGGTCACCCTCCAAGCCAGTGTGTCCTTGTTCACGTTGGTAGATGAGAAACACAAAAAGCACGAGCTCACTGTTGCACCTAACGCTGACGCTCGGGGTCTGGGCGCTTGCTCATGGAAACAGAGCCTGTATCCTTCCAGCCTGAGCTGCTACTCCTCCGGGGCCTTGTTTCTGGCCCACTTCCTCTCTGAAGTGGTTTCCTGTGGTTGTGTCTGCCGATCACTTTGGGAGGGTAATACTGGAGTCTCTGCAGTTGCTGGCGTAGTCTGTACTTTCTCTCTGGTTCTGCTGACTTTTCGAGCTCATCTTCTTTTCCCAGGCAGTGTTCATGGTCAAGATCAGATCAGTCAGTCTGCCTCTGCTGCCCTAGGTCACAGGGAAGTGAAATGTGGAGCTGGCTCGTAGTTAGTGGATGGTTGTGCCTTTAGGTTGGGGACACCATGTGGCTGGTGTGGGCCAACTAGCTTGTGGTGGGAATGCTGCGCGGAGGGATGGGCCTGCTTGCTTGCACTGGATGGGGGCCTTGGCAGGCATGGGGCCTGCTTTCATGCACTGGGACAGTATGGTGCAGCCAGCTGGTATGGACTTTTTAGTAAGCTGTTTTCTCTTTTTAGTAAGCTGTATCCTGGACTGCTAGCTTTTAATACTGTGTTAGATCTGCTTTTTCCAGCTGGGTATCATAGTATAGCCTCCCTGTAGCCTCTGTGATTAGTGACCTCCGTGAGCCTTGTGAAAGTTGGGACACTAGCAGTTCAAGCATGGTAGTGTCAACAGCAGTGTGTGTGGCACATCCTGGGAACTGGTGCCTCACAGGTGATGGGGATGCTTTTAAGGACCCTGGCTGAAGCACTTGTATTGAGTTCACATGGAGAGACAGTGCCAGGAACAACACCTGACAGCAGTCTGGGGTCAGACAAGATTCAGGGCAGCTGGTGGTGGAAACCCTATAGAAGTGGTGCCAGCAGGTGTGGAATTCTGGTGTCCCTATCTGCTGCTACAGAAGTAGTACTTGCCCATCAGCAGGACTTCAGGGCACTAGCTAGCCATGCACACATGGGGATACGGGGACGGCTTGGGCTTTCCTGACAGTCAAAAGTGCCAGTGGGCACAGTGAGATCAGGACATAGCTGGTGGCATTGGGCAGTTTCCCTCTGGACTTCAGTAGGCCATGCACCTTAGAGTGGAGCAGCAGGTGGCCATGATAAGAGACTCTGCAGAACAGCAGGAAAAGGGTAGCAGGAACCATTAGTGTCTTCACTCCTACCACTAGCATGAATCCACATAGAGGCAGATGTGTGATCCGAGGGCACACTCCCCAGTCTCCTGGTTCTTAAGGATTCTACCCTTACACGGCAGGGCACTCAGCTGGTATGACTGAATTTATGAAGCCAAGTGTAGTTCGTGAAGCAGCTACCTGATCAGTCAGTGCAGTGGCACGTGCGGTGTCCCAGAGCAGCCCCATTGCCACATTAGGTCTTTACACAAGATGGCTCCTGAGCACAGCACCCTAGGGATTCACTGGGAGACTGTGGGGAGTTGCTTCAGGATTGCTTCAAGGCTCAGGGCATGGAGAACACCTGAGGAGGTGATGACGCTGTTTAGCACAGGCACACAGTGGGATAAACTTACATAACCATGACTTAGCATTAGACAGCTGCACATGTGCCACACGGCTAAGTCAGTAGATAAGAATGTAAATATGCGCTAACGGCACGTGTAAGGTCTCAACTATAAACATGCAGCTTTCTTTTGCTGCTGCTGCTTGTTTCCTGTACTTTGTCTCAAGCCTTCACAAGTAAAACTACGCCTTCAGCCCCTCAACCATGACACAGGTGATGTAGAATCCTTCCCCCAAAGCAAAGCTACTTATCAAATCAGGCTACACGGCTGTGAGGGTGTCAAAGCATGGTAGCCAGGCCTGTGTCCTTGCAGACAGGGCTTGCTGGAATTCTCTTCCCCTACCCCTGCAAAGGACAGCTCCTTGCCCCTGGCCATTTGACAGGGAAGCTGGCTGACAGGATATTTTGCTTCTCTAGCTATGCTTCTGTCCCTTGTCTCTGAAACTTGCAAGATCCAGTTTCTCTCTTAATTCTACTGTCCTCCCAGGACTACTCAAAATGTAGCAATATACCTGTTGCTTTTTCTTCTGTGAAGTGGGTTTTAGCATCCCTTACACAAAAACAAACACCTGGAATCTCACTTCATTGTTGGTCTGGGGTAGGGGCCTTTCCTTAAAACAGCTCTGTAACTAAGAAATCACTGCTGTTCCTTGAGAGTTAGGGTGAGACCCATGATGGTTAGAAAAGAAACCACACATATTGCTGTTTCTGGAAGCTTTGTTCTTTAATGAGCCATGGTGATTTGTTCATCAAGCTGCTTTTGTATAGCCATACAGTGCATATTCTGAGGGACACAAACTGTACTTTATACAGATGTTTTGTCCCCCCCCAAAACAGGAAGTTACAAAGTGCCTGTTGATTGCATCAGGAATGTAATCCATTCTGTGGGTAAGATAAATCATTCTTATAGCATTATTCTATTCAACAGTAAATGATATTATATTTCACAGGATATGTCCATTTATAATACAGTCTTTAAAAAATTTACACTCAACATACTTATAAATTATTTAAATCTTTTAAAATAATATAATACTAATCTTTAGTTCGCCTTTCCCATAGTAAATACAAATACTTGTTTTAAGAGGTGCAACTTTTGTATGACCTAAAGGGACTGATAAGCACTAAGAATGGATGGACAGCAAAGTGACAGCCCTGCTGATGGGTGTTTTTGAAAAGTTTCAACCAAGAGATCACCATGACCTGACAGAGCCATCTCCTTAGTCCTTTTGCAGTTACACTTTTAACACCGAATTGGATGTGGGACTGGTTCCAAAGAAAAGTAGTTGCATGTTATTCTAAGGACACAGAAGACAGAGGACTCCCACAAATACCAAGGATTTCACTACCAAGGCCAGCATGGTGTTGGGAGACAGAGCTGGGCATTGTCACAGATGTGAGTGAACTTATGCTTCTCAATGCAGAATGACGCAGACCCCACTTCTAGTGCCCCACCTAGTACAGGGGATGAGGCAGAAGAGAAAGCCACCTGAACTGTTTGACTAACACTCTTAGCTTTGAACACATCATGAGAATCCGCTCTCATCCAGCAGAAAGCTTGCGAAAGGTTACTATTCACAGCTAAAAACACAGCAGCCCAGAGAACCCGAGGTGAGATGGCAAGATCCTGCTGGACTGCCGGCCTCTTCTCTGCACATTACCATAACCCAGCTTTCATCTGGGAAAGCACCCTCCTGTGATGGAATAGGAAGTCTCCACTGATGTCAGCAGGCTGACAGCTATAGGAAGTTGGGGCCTTCAGCTTCCAGACTTTGGGTCCTTCTGGCTCCCTCTGCAAGGCTCATAGGAGGTAGGCTGGCTCTGTGTTCTTGTTTCTAGAAGCCCAGAGCAGCCAAATAATCTAAATGGTAAGAAACATAAAGTGCAACACAAACTAAGCATGTTACCTCCTTCAATCCTGCCTGTGCTAATTTGCTTCAATCTGTGATCTAGAATGAAATCTGACTTGTTTCTGTTATATTTCCATGATACATAAAGCAATTACAGTAAGACTTCACTAGCGTCAATGGACAGAAGAAAAATGTTTTATTTGGGACTGAGACTGATACTCACTGAATTTCAGAGTGTGGTCTTTGAATGTGGTGCTGCCCTACTGCCGCCATTTAGATACTTATTTTGAGGCATTTGAAATCAAAGAATAAACAGCAAAGGAGAAGCAATAGGACACCACAAATCTGACATATACTCGGGAGAACTATCCCCCTCACAGGTGAGTGTAATGTTAGCTGTGGGGTGACAATTAAGAACAGAGGGAGGTAGATACAGCATTTCCTTCCCTAACAGTTGGTGAGAGCCATGGCTTCATCTCACTGGCAGATGATGCCTGTCATCCTAGGAGTGCAGCGCTGTTTCCCTCCAAGGAGTATGGGCCACACTTGCTGTGACACATTCCTACGACGGCCCAGATGTCTCCTCCCAACCACCCCCCATCCGGGCAGCTTGTTAAATAACTAGAAATTCACAAATCTAGCAACCAAAAACAATTTTTTTATTTATTTTTATCCAAATTCAGGTTTTAGGTCCCTGAGAAAAATTATAAAGTCTCTTAACATCCATCAACTAGTTCCTATAAAGTGACCTATATAAATGGTTTTTTAATTGCCAAAAGCTTATCTTAGAAAAAAAACACCCACAGGATTTAGACAGGAGAACACGTGTGAAGATGTGTTTCCTGGGTCATCCCTCTGGGAAAAAGGAAACTGTTCTCAAGGACAATCTCTCTCTTTAAAAAGAAAAGGTTTTAACAACATTGTGGACCAAGTGGAAAGTAACAGTCAATGCCGAGTAGTGCACTCCTCTCCCAAGAATATTCAAAGTGCGGCTGAGCATGGGCCCAGGAAGCAGCACCCCTTGCACACAGCCATGCTGGGGGTTTCCCTCTAGGATAGTCTCTGATATTCCTACTTTGTTTGCTTTTGGGGTCTTGCTATGTTGCCCAGATTGACTGTAAATGCCTGAGCTCAAGCAATCCTCCTGCCTCAGTTTCCTGCATAACTGGAACCACAGGCACATACACCACATCCATCTTTGAAATTCACTTTGAAAGGTTGATGTGCACCATGTAGGACAGGTGGCAGATGTTCATGAAGTACAAAACCTTGTATCTGTGGACTCACCGTTCTGGAGCTTCAGTGGCCTTCCTTTCCCTGGCTCAATTCTGAACCAAAGCCAGAAGGGGACATGCATGCCACCTTTAAGCTGCTCCGCACAATGATGCTCTGATCTGACCATGGGGGTTGGCCAAGGACCGCTGAGGCAATGGCATGAGGTTCAGTGTTGTGTAACAGGAGAGACTCTGCCTGAACAAAACTCAGTATTTCTATAACTTCAAATCAAAGAAGTATGAAAAGAATAACCAAAATTCAGGTTACAGGTGGTAAAGGCTCTTATACAGAACAGTACATGTGGTAGTTAGACAAGATGCATGTAGTTAACTTTAAAAATAAACATTTTCACAAACTTAACTCAAGAAAGGGTTCCATTTTTTTATACATTATAAATAGCAAAAACAGTTTCCATCACACAAATGTTAAGATGCTTCAAATGTCGTGGTAACTTAGGAGTGTAGAGACCATCAGTGGTAAAAAAGATGGCCATACTCTGCTTCAACCTGGGGATGAGTGGCTCTCACTCCCTACCCAACAGCATCGGAGCTGAGGAAGGAATTCCCTGGGAAGCACAAGGTTAAAAAGAAATAGATATACTAAGATATACTATACACATATTTACAGTAAACTTCAGTAACCAGTATATTAACAAAAATAGCTTCAAGTAGTCCTTGATTTTTTTTCTTCTATTTAATACTGATGGTCTGAGGGAAATAAAGTAGAAGCTAGGTGGGTCATATAGAAGCCTTTGAATTTTGGCAGCTTTCTATAACACTTATTCATGCAGTATTGTGTTGGGGGGGGGTCAAGTGATTAAATGGTCACACTGAGTCCATGGTGGGAATCCACCAGCAGATGTATAGGCTCATGTACAGTCTTTAGCTTACTTTATACAAAGTGAAATATCTCGCTGGATTAGGATGAAACCTTCATATTTAGGGATCACTTAAATGTCTCTGGGACATTTAAAAAAAAAAAAAGAACCTTAAAGAATCTGACCTTAGGAACAGGAAACATGAGAAGAGTATGGCTAATGCAACTTCATCTCATGCAACAGATTTGGCAGGAACTAACCAGGAGTTAAACCAGCATTATTTTGACATCAAAAACAAAGCATGTATTTTTGTTTTTATTGTATAACCAGGTATCTCATACATGCTCTAATGGCTTAATGGAAACAATAGCTTTTTTCACTTTCCCTAGAAAGAATATGGAGTGTTTTTCAAATGTTTGAAAATAAAGGGCTAAAGGCTTTTGCTTGTGAATGTTTGGGGAAAAATTATATTCCACCCCAGCTCTTTAATCTCAAAACAAACCTGCAGGCTTTCTGCTGTCATGGTTAACAAAGGTTTATGTTTCCTTCCAACGTTGGAAATCAGAGGGTCCTTTAGGTCCAGTTTCCTCCAGCTATTCAACATCTATCTCTGAGAAGGTAAAGAAAGGTGGGGAGGGAAAACTATCACTGACCAAAATCCCCAGGCCTAGGTGGCTTTGTTTAGTGAAATCACGATTCAAATTCAGCAGCCAAGGCACAGGGGCCACTGTTCCCAACAAGCTTCGAGGAGGCCTTTCTACTTGTGCTGGAGGCCTAGGAATTCAGCACAAAGGTTGCAGCTGTATGCTGAGCCCAGAGGCAGGATCATAATTAGGACGACTGTGGCACTGTGAGGCCCCAAAGAGGTGATGTGTGCTCACCACTGTGAGGGGACACACAGCACCAGTTCAGACCATAAACTCGTTATTTCCAAGGAGAGGCAGCTGCTGGGCAGAGCTGCAGTCGGGGTCCACAGGTTTCCGGCGGCCAGACACAACTGTCCCCTCAGGGGTCTCTTTGGTTTTCTGAGGTGAGTTTCTCACATTCTTTAATTTTTGTTTGCCCTTTTCAGGGTTAAACGTTCCTCTGCTGATGAACTGAGGCCTGTCTTCCAGGGCTTTGGCCTGGCTCAATGGTCCTTCCATTCCTGGGACCTCACCAGCAGAGACAGCTCGGTAGAATGGAGATTTAGAATAAATCTGAAAGCGTTTTCTGGTGCCATGAGATGATGTAGTGTTGGACAGACACGTGGACTCTACAGAATCCAAAGAGTCTTGCTGCTTTTTTAGCTGCTTTCGCATTTTAGCTGAAGGTTCAGACTTAGCAGCTGCCTTTAGGGAACCAAGGCCTAAGCTTCTCTCTAACACAAAACAAGAGATCAAACCTGTAAATGACAGTTCTCTCTAAAAGCAATCTGACAAGTGATGAATAAGTCACTGTTGACACACAAATGAGTGAAATAAAATTTGGAGGGTCCAGGCTGATTTACATTGAATGGTCTTAAACAGCTCTGCCCCCATTTCTTATATCACTTCAGAATCAGCTCAAAGGAACTCTGGTATGTGACTGAACACCTGGTGGATGCCTAGAATAGTCACCACCATTTTAAAAGCTGAGTGCAAGTAACTAGGTTCTGTCTCCTTGAGATATGTCACTGCATTAAAACATCTCCTTCGGCATAATGCCCCATCTCTCAATTTCTGCCTCACCATTAAAAAATGGACATGAGACAGCAAGACAACATGTACTGTGATTACTGGCTTTTCTCTGGCATGTGCACAAGAAAACATTAAATTGCCACAAAGCTGTATTACACTGAAGCGTTGATCTGATGCAGAGTTTATCATGTTAAGATCAGTGTACTCTTAGAAGAGATTAGGCTGGCAAGATAGTTCAGTGGACATGGGCGGGAACCAGGGTTCTACTCCCAGCACCACATAGTGCACTGGCCCTGGCCCTGCCCCCAGGTGTGCTGAGCCAGCCACCGAGATGGGGTGTGGTGGCGTATGCCTGTAATCCCAGTGCTGGGGAGACGGAAAATGGGAGGATCCCTATGAATCCAAGCTGTGTACTGGGACCCTGTACCAAATCAATAAATTCATGTACCTGATCTCTCGCACATGTTTCCTTCAGACTCCATATTCAAATTTTCTGAGCTATCAGCAGTCCCAATAGAGGCTTCAGACTCGAGGGTTTCATCATCAGAGGCACGGGGTTCCAGTGCGAGCATCTCAAACGTTAGCTCCTCCCTGTAACATACCATCAGTAGACCCATTTAGCACTTGGTAAGAAGTGAAAGGAAGGTGTTATGGTTTGTGTTTAGTTGTTCCCTCCTCCCCCCAAAGCTTCATGCAGTCATGGGGTAGACTTCTAGACTTGGTGATTAATTCATAATCCAGTGCTGGGATTATAGGTGTGAGTACTACACTCGGCCTGAGGTAGACAGCCTGAATGCATCATAAGGGAGACAAACTTGCTCTCTGTGGCCCTTGGCACAGCTACTCCTCCCTTTTGCTCTTGCTGCTTTGCTATCTTCCCCTGCCGTGTACTACTGCCCTCTGCCATGTGCCAGTTTGCCTTACAGCCAGCCAAGTATAGACTGAAACCTCCACGAACTGAGCTAAATGAACCTTTCTTTCCTTAATTTTGTGTGTTGGATCTTTTGTCCCAGCAACAAGAAATGAGTAACCAAGATAGAATTTGGTACCAGAGAAGTGGGGTCATTGCTGTGATTAAACCTGACCATATGGATTACAAGCCTTTGGGAATGGCTTGTGAGAAGAGATAGGAAACGTTTGGAGAGGTTGCCTACAAGAGAAGAGCTGGAATGCCTTCAACTGTTCTGTATGGGAGATTCTGGTCAGAGCGCAGAAGACCAGAATGCTGACAGAAATCCTGCCTCTAAAAACCAGACTGGGGAAGTTTCTGCTGGAAAAAAGGACTGTACTCGTTGCTGGTCTCTAGACGATGTGCATTATGTCTTAGGAGAAAGTTTGCCTGCATGTTGCTCATGTCCAGACTTTGCCTGAGACTGAGATTAAGCATGGTGAACTAGAAAATCTGACAAAGGAAATGTCAAAGCAGTTGAATGTTGAGGCAGTGGCATGGCTATTGTTTAGGGCTTTTAATCAGATTTATGTAGATAATCAAGAGCAAAGAGCCCAGCAGGATGATTTAAAATGTGCGTGGACGGCGAAAGCTTAGAAGACTAAGTGCCTGCTAGGCAAGTGCATCCCCAGCATCACATGATGCATTGGCCCTGCCCTTGGGTGCACTAAACCAGCCACCACGACTGGGTGTGGTGGCGCAGGCCTGTAATCCCAGTGTCGGGAAGGCTGAAAACAGGAGGATCACTACGAGTCCAAGCTGTGCAGTGAGACCCTGTACCAAATAAAAAATAAAAGGGACTGTCTTAGCTTGGGAGTTCCTTAATTTTGTGTGTCAGGTATTTTGTCCCAGCAACAAGAAGCATAACTGAGACAAAAAGTAACAGGGAGAAGACCTTGAGTGAAAGTCAACAATCCAGTAGAAAAGACAGCACATTTCTTACTGGCCTCTCCAGGGTGGTGATAAGGACATATATGCCAAGGTAATGGTAAAGGCTAAAAGTACATAGCTAAAAGACACACAGCTGGGGGTGGCAAACATATGCCTGTATTGTCAGCACTAGGGAGATCACTGCAAGTTCAAGGCTAGTCTAAACTATACAGAAACACACTACCTCAAGAACAAACAAAAAACCACATAGCAGAAGTAAAACTAATAATGACAGGCTAAGGTAAGCTTTATGTAAAATGAGGTCTTTATGTAAAATGAACTCTAGACTAATAATCAGGAAATCAGAGTTCTAAATGCATCAACAAAGTATTTTTCTTCTCTCTGGCCATCAGCTTCCTAATCCTGAAAACAGATTAAACAGATAACCTCTAAACTTCCTTCCAGCACCTATGTCCATAAACTTACTAACTTTATCCTCTACCGCTGCCACAGTCAGGACTTTCTTGGCCTTGGAAACTGTGTCATTTCCATCAGAGTATTCTCTCCATTATCAGTCATTCCCCTCAGATCTCTGCTCCATGGTTCTTCTGTTCTTGCTTTCTCACTACCACCTGACACCCTGAACTAATTTAATTATCTTTGTGAAAACTCAATTCCAAGCTCCAATACCAGTTTCCTTATGTCTGTGCCTTCCTTTCCTCCACTTCACATAAACTAATCTCCCCAATGGACATAACCCAGTTGAGAATCCAATATTTTATTGTTTACCTACGAAGTCCTCACCTTCCAATCAACTCTCATGTCAGATTTCATTTCTACTCTACCTCAAGACCACCAACATTTTCCAGGAAAGTCTCACTAGTAACTCACTATGGCAATTAAAATGGTCATATGCCACATATATGCCCATCTGGGGCTCTGCTCACAGGTCTTTCTTTGCAAAGACTTTCTCTTCCTAGAAAATCCTTACTTATTTTTCAATACATCTAATACCACCCACCAAAGCTAGGGTAGGTCCTCTTTTCATATCACTCTTATAACTGCCAGCCCCAGCTCTGTGTGTACCACCTCTGTCTTTCCAAGCTTTTTACAACTAACCCCTGGTTGTTTTAGCCTAACTAAATTCTAGAATCAATCCTAATAGATAAAAAGTACTTTTAACAGTCTCATGTCCCCTCCCTCATCAATCAAGTTCTGAGACCTAAGATGTGAGTTTCAGGAACTGGGGGACCAAGATCCTTTCAGGACTAGGACTAGTATATAGTAGCTTCCAGGAGAACCATGTGATACCCACATTCTCCCAAGGGAGGGCAAGTGTCACCCTACTGAAAATGGGAGTAACAGAACTTACCTGTCCCTTTCTTAAGTTGCAGCTGATTTCTTTACCTGGTTTCCAAGCACCCACTTAAGTTGCTGTCTTACCATGATCATCTAGTTCCTAGACCCATGGTTAGACTGACCTTTCTGCCTTCTTTATAGAGTTGTGAATAATGCCCATTCTTTTGTCTTAGCCCCGGAAATCTTGGTCTTCCTTTGCAAACCTGATCTGTTTAGGAAGGCTGGTTCCTGACCTATCAAGCCATCAGTACTACATCTTGGTTGTCTGCTGTTTGTGGCACATGATCTTGACCAAGACTGAAGTACGCTGTGGATGCTGCCTCTTCCTAGTCAGCCTCTCTAGATCATTACCATAAGAGTATCAAGCCTCACAGCTCATGGGGCACCTGTCAAGGTGACAATTTTCATACTGTACCTGAGTACAGGCAACATAGCTGTTATCTCCACCTCTTCTATATTCCCTGCCATAGTGCTTGGTGCACAGGAGCTATTTTTATTGTAAAAAGAAGCATTTATTTCAAACAACATTCCAGGGTTGGGGAGATGGCTCAGTAGACTAAGCACTTCCCTGGCAAGTGCAAGGTCCTGAGTTCTATCCTTGGTT